CCCCCCCCCCCCCCCCCACGGCCAGTTCCGCGTTCTGCGCCTCACGCGCATCCAGCTCGCGGAGGACATTCCTGTCCGTCCGCGGCACCCATAAGTGCGCGTGCGCGCGGCGGAAAGCGCGCGCACGGAGGGAGGCCGGGCGCGCGCGCTCTTCCTGCTGCGGCTGTGCGCGCGCGGACCCGCGGCCCGACACCGGTACGTCTCACCAAACTTTTACCTCTCCTGCCCCCCCCACCCCCTCCAGGGAGCAGGCCAAGCGCGTGGCCGTGCGCGCGTGCGCGTCCACGCGTGCGTATCGCGCTCTCTTCCGCGTCGCCTTCAGTTCCGTGACCCCCGCGCGCCTCCGGAACTTTTACAGTCGGTAGAAACGCGCGCGTGCGCGTGCACCGCCGCGGTGTGTCTCGCAAACGCAACGCACGTTGCGCACACACACACGCACGCGCGCGTACTCCGGCGTGAAACGCGCGCGCGTACTCCCGTTGATGTTTGTTTTGTTTTGACGCGGGTGACGTAGGCGGTGAGATAAGCAGATCCGAATAAACAGCGCGTGCGCGCGCGTGCGTGCGTGTGGCCAGTGCGCACGCGCACGGACGGCGAGGAGGGAGCCCGGTGGAAGAGGAGGAGGTGAGGTGATGGGATGGGGGGGGCAGGGGGGGTTTCTTAGCTGCGCACTTGAGATTTTTCTAGCAAAAAAGGCACCGCACGCGCATAGCGCACGCGCATTCCGCACGCGGCAGGAAGCGTCATCGCGCGCGCGCGTGGCCGTGTCTGGAGTCCGCGAGCAGCTGCCCGGATCCGGCTCACACCTGACCCACGCGGAGCCTCTCAGCGTGCACGTGAGCCCCCCCCCCCAAAAAAATAACCTGCGCGTGTGTGTGTAAACGGGTCCTCAGAAATGATGCGTTCAGGGGAGCTTTTAATAGGGGAAAAAACGGCTTTACGGGAAGTTCCTCCGTGTTTTGCATCCCGGAACTGACACAGAAAAAAACCCAAAAAAGAGCAAAACTCCGGTTTGATTCCGGGATCTGGGCGTTTGGGGAAAGTTAAGGCTTGTTGTGTTGTTTTTGTGTAATCCAGTGTGTGTAGATCTGACAGGAGACACAAAAATCGTCACAACAGGCCTGAGAAAGCTGCTCTTTCTGGTTCAGACTGATGTTTCTCTGGTTAGCACTTTCCTGTCAGATTTGTTCTTATTAATAACATTTTTTGCTCCATTTCTGGTCTTTATTTTACTTTTTTGCAGTTTCGTGACTTCTTTGTGTCTATTTTTGGTGTTTTGTGTCTGGTAATGATCAATTTTGACCCATTTATGGTCTTTTTTAAAACATTTTAAACATTTAAACACTTTTTAAAACATTTCTTAACAGTTTTGTGACTTCTTTGTGTCCATTATAGTGTTTTGTTACTGTTTCTGATCAATTTTGATCCATTTATGGTCTTTTTCTTTACATTTCGCAGCCATTTTTGGAAAATTTGACTATTTCTGACCATTTGTGATATTTTTACTGTACTGTTCTGGAGCTGTGCGTCTTTTTTATGTTGTCACCAGCATTTGAGCTGGACTTTGTGTGTCTTCCTGGATGGATGTGGCCTAAATGTTTCCCTGCAGGACATAAACTGGAACTGTAACTTTGAGGGGTCTTTAAGGGTCTCAAAGTGAAAACAGGAAGCATTCAGAAGTCCTGCTGATTATGGAAACTGAGCTAAACTGGACAAACATTTGTTCCATCCAGATCAGGACTCATTTTATAAGCAACTGAAACGCGTTTAACAACCATTCTGTTGTTTTAAAAAACATCTGGCCCCTCAGAAGATGCTATAATGGGATCTGTAGACCCTCATAAGAGGCAAAAAAACCAAAAACTATTGATCTAAAACCACATAAATGCAGCAGAATCCAGATTATTGGTGGTTTTACAGGACAAGGAATCATTAGGATGCACTGAAACACGTTGTCTGAAGTTGGATTTTCCTCATTTTTAGATCCCAATAAGAACCAGGTTATTACTATTATTAATACGTCCTGATATGGGAAGCTTTAGAAGTGAAAAAAGCTAATTTTTCAGGGTTTCGGTCCTGCTTTTAGCTTTAATTTTCATGGTTTTTTTCCCTCTCTCTAGGTGGCTAAAGCCCACCCCACCGGAGATGGCTCACCTTTCACCCTCCCTGGATTAAAACATAAATAAAAAACCTCCCTTTGGCCGAAACAGGAAGGAATACAATGCTGCATTCTGCACCTAGAGCTCCGGAAACCTGTTTATTTGACGGAAGGATGCTCAAAACGGCCGTCTGCTCTTCTGTCCGATGGCACTGACGGGGCCCGGAGAAGATGGAATAAAACCCCAGAGAGACGCTTTCCCGAAGGAGAACTAATCACCGGTTTGGGATCGAGCATGGAGCAGGATTTCACACAGTAGGATCTCCCTTTGCTCCTCTGTGTGCTCTCTCCTGGACTCATTCCACACCTCCGGTTTTCCCCATCCTCACCCCGGATTCTGACTGAACTCTGACCCTCAGACTGTAAACGCATCCTCCCCTCTTATGGACGTCCGACTGCCCTGAAGCTCCAGGGAATCCCTTCCTCCCACCTCTGTCTTCCCGTTAGCGTCCCTCGGAAAAACATGGCCGCCACAGGGAGGAAACACCTGGTGAGAGATTTCAACCATTTCATCACCTGTTACCTGTGCCGAGGCTACCTGATTAAGCCCACCACAGTCACAGAGTGCCTGCACACCTGTGAGTACAAACACACGCCTCCACATTCAGTTTTACCGGCGGCTAAAGAGGAGATGTAGCTCGTTCCTATACTTAAAGTCACTTCTGTTCATGTTGCTCCAAGTTACACTGAATATTTACTAATTACAAACTAATATTTAGCTAACTTTCTGCCAATATAGTGCTAAATTAAAAAGGTTTTACCAACATTTAG